GATATTCACATTATTGGAAAGACAAGAATTAGGTCTGGAAACATCAGCATTCAAAGTAAAAGTATTAACAATTGAAAGAGAAAGGTTCTGCATTTGACTCAGAGTTGGCTTATTTACAAATGAAGGTAGATGACATTGCATATTATTCAAAGAAGGACTATTTACATCACAAGGATGATTCGAAGCTATGGTGGAGGAGTTGTTGTCTCTCAAACACTTGGAGCAAAGCAGCTACAAGCCATCTCTTACTTTACCAATCTCCAGAGGCCTCTTCACTAAAGGGGCCTACAGAAGACAAGTATCATCAGTAAATGATGCCATGCCTTTAAGGTGTTTGGTCAACAAATAAACAGACACAAGATTGAACTTGAAAGAAGGGACTAAAAGGACCTTGTACAGTACTAATTTTTGTGTAAGAAAAACATCACCAATCTCAGATACTTTGACTTTGTATCCATTAGGTAGGACTACTAGAAGAGGATAACATAAGAATTTGATGTTAAAAAGTAGGGATCTATTAAAGGTCATGTGATTGGAAGCCCCTGAATCCAGTATCCATGTATCAATCTTGGACTCAAAGCATTTACATGAAAGTTTACCAAAATCAATGAAAGAGGTACATACTATCATACCTGCAAAGCTGACAGCATTGGCACTAGGTGAGTGTGAATTCCCTGAGGATCTCCCAGCATCTCCATTCCCCACATAAAATTATTGAAGCAAGCTTACAGGCTGTTCATACTATTCTTCAGTCAAATTCATATTCCTTCCATCATCTTGTGCTTTGTTTTCATTCTCTTTAGTGGTAACAACTTCATTGGGAACTCCTTGCACAAATGCAACTACTCTCTTACCTTTATTGTACCTAGAATTTTGGCTATAGTTCTGACTATTTGAGAAGTGCCTTGGAGTGAAATTTTGAGTAGAATTCTGATTGTTTTGTGGGTAACCATGTAACTTGTAACACCTGTCCTTACTATGCCCTGGCTTTCTGCAGTATTCACATATGGGCCTATTTCTAGGAATCTCGCTGTAATTGTTATTTGTTGGGAAGTTTGTCTTAAAAGTCCCCTATCCTGATGCACTAACATTCAATGAGATTGACTCAACAGATAAATGGCTACCTGGCCTAATCTCTCTTTGTTTTTCATCCTGAACTAGAAGTGAAAATGCTTGTGCCAAGCCTAGCAATGGATTCATCATAAGTATATTGCCTCGGACTTCTGTATATACCTTATTTAGTCCCATAAGAAATTGTATCAGCCTCCTTTCTTGCTCGGCTTTGTACATACTCTCTTTTGCACCACAATTACAGGTGCAACTATATTGAGTTCTTTTGTTCAAAGTAGTAAGCTCTTCCCAGAGCTTCTTCAACTTAGTATACTAAGTAGTGATATCAAGAGTACCTTGGGAAAGATCGTTGATTTCCTTCTGAATTTGATACAGCCTAGCTCTATTAGTTTGTTCATAGCGATCCTCTAGTTCCTTCCAAAGCTCAACAACATCATTTGCATATTCTACAATGTTTGCGATTTCCTTAGAGAGTGAATTTAGGATCCAAGAGGTCACCATATTATCACATCGCTCCCACTGACGAAATTGTAGTGACGAAGGATCTGGCTGTTTGCACTCGCCGCTTATAAAGCCTAATTTGTTCTTCACAGATAATCCCCTCAATACACTTCTCCTCCAATATATGTACCCTATGCGATCAAAAACAACTGAAACGAGCATAGCTCCTGGATTATCAGATGGGTGAAGGTATAGAGGATCACTGGGATCAATTCCTATGTTCGTCGCAGCAACAGTAGCGGTAGTTTCTACTCCAGTCGAATTGTCTTGGTCAAGGATGGCCATGATCAAATAAAATTGATGATGAAAACAGAAGAATTTTCTATTATCACGATTTTTGACAGCAAATTGTTAACGAATAGAACGAAATTCCTAAAATTAGGGCAAATTCTGAAACCTAAAGGAATCGAACAAGGAGACAAATGAAAAATAACGAAAGGTAGGGGAAGTTAATATGTGATATTAACCTCGCTCTGATACCATGTAAAGATCTTCACTGAGAATCAGAATGAATGAGCTCAGCCATGTCTGCCATGGTGAGTAGTGAAGCTTCTAGAACTGAGAAAAAATAAGAGGAAGAAAGGCAATGAAATTGATGAAATGAAGCTCAAACTTTATTGATGCAATACAGAGCATATTTATACAACTTTGTATAGCTGGCACTATTAACAAACTAATACTAACTAATGTTAACTAACTTTCTAACTACTCCAACTAATTATCTAGCTATGAAGAATACAGCTAAGTATTAATTAAATAAGATATCTCAATAAAACCAAACAATGAATAAGAAATATGTCAGCATAACTAATGCAAGCATAACTAATTAATACTTGCATTACTAATACACCAGCATTATTTTTATGCACCCTACCAAATCACCCTTTATATTTTGGCCCTACATGAATTCTAACATTATCAACGATTGTATGTCCCTGTTCTCTAAGCTTGGAATACTAGTTATGAAGCTTATATCTAAAGAAGGAAACAAGGTGGCCAATAATAACTTCCAATGTATAGTAATAGTAGAAATAATATTTTTGAGGGCTTAGCTTAATGTTGTATAATTCACTGTCAACATATACTATCCTCTTTTAATGATTGTACAGGTGTCATGTATCCAAGCAACTATGTATTAGCTATTGTAGTTGCGAGCCAAGAATTTGGATAAAGGGATTTAAAAAAATTACTAGACTGTCACACTTAGGATATAAACTTGTGACATAAAACAATTTTTGAACCCCTTGCCACTACACTAGAATTTTCCCTTACGTCAAGGAATTCAGTATTCTTTGGTATACTGTATATTGATATACCATAATTAGTGTTAAATCATGATATATTTTGTCAGAGTACGTTAAATGGTACACCCAATATTCTTGATATACTACAGACTAATATATCATAATTACTGTTGAATCTTGATACTCTTACTAATTCTTAGTATACTTACATTTGATATACCATAATCATCATAGTATACCTAATTTTAGGATTCACCAATTTAACTAGAAAAAACAAAAAAAAAAAAAAAGATAAAAAAGAGTGACAAGTTTTTTATTTTAAAAAATCCTTAATGAATTTCATTAAAAATTTAAAAAAAGTCATTTTGCAAATATAAAATACAAAAATCAAAAAGAGTGACATTGTAACTATCGATAACCATAATAGATTGATGATTTTTTAGAAAGAATTTCAGTACTAATATTAGGACTAGGTTATTTATCTTGGAAGAACAAAAATAAAAGAGGCATAAAGTGTTAAAATTTTTAATGGAAAAACATAATAAAAAGATAAAAAATAATAATTGTAAGGAAAAAAAGTGACAGATGTTTTGAACTAACAGATTTTATTTTAAAAAATAAAATTTCTTAGAAAACTACAAAAAAAATATTATCTGCAAATATAAAAAAATCCAAAAAATCAAAAAGAGTAATATGGTAACTCTCGGTAATCATAATCCATTACTGATTGTGTAAAAAGTATCTCAATATAAATTTTAAGACTCGGTTATTTATTTAAAAAGCAAAAACAAAAGTGGAAAAAGTGATCACAGTTTTTGGTGGAAGAATTTTACTAAAAAATAACAGAAAAAATAAGATGAAAAAGATAAACCAAGCAGCCAAATATTTTGGACGGAGAGATTTTAGTGGAAAGAATAAAGTTATGAAAAATAAAAAACACCGAAAAATAAAAAATTAAGTAATAAAGAGTGAGGGAGTTACTACTAGAAAGAATAGTTAAATAAAAGAGAGAATAACTACAGAAAAAAATGAACTAAGAAAAATGAATAAGATTGCAAAATTTTATTAGAAAGAAAAAAGTACTAAGAGAAAAAGATAACAACAAAATACGAAAAAATAAAAAAAACAAAAAGAAAAATGTGAAAAAATAAAGAAAGAAAGAAAAGGACCTATGGTGAAGCCTAGGTATAGAAAGAAGGCAACCTGATATTAAAACTGTCACATTCCCATCTTCAGCTTGCCAAGGACATTAACCCTTGTTAGCAGAGAGTGGAGGTCGAGCATTAGAGTAATATAGGCTAGTGAATAGTCGAGTGTAATTCATTTTTGCACCTGTATTGCTTTTCTATACGTGTATAACTAGTGTATTCTTGTAATTCATATTCTTAGATTTCTAATACTACCTGCTATTTTTTTTTTCTTTGGTTATCTTTTTTTTCTGGTTTACTGCTTCTCTTTATATGAATTCTTCTCTTGACATGTTTTTCTTGAGCCGATGGAAAAGGAAAAAAAGAGAAAAAGAGAAATGTGGAAAAAAAAAAAAAAAAAGAAAAGAAGGAGAAGGACCTATGGTAAAGCCTAGGTATGGAAAGCAAGGGGTAACCTAGTCTTAAAATCTTTAAAAGGGGTATATTCTATCTTTTTTAAATTAAGAGAGCATTTTTGTCATTAAGTCTATAAAAGGGGCTTTAAATGTCATTTTCAAAAAGTAAAACTTTCACATTCCCAACTGAACTAGGAAATAGATGGCCATCTATTTATAGTTTCATTGCAGCTCAAAATTTATTAGGTTATTCCTGTTTTCCTTGTTTTGTATTACTCGTCTCTCCAAAAATTAACTCAAAGAACGTTATTGTCCCCCACTTTGTTAACCATGTTCTTTAGTTATTAATCAAAGAAAACATGAGTAATCTGACACATCATTCTTCTTCATATTATCATCGCAATCATCGACGTCCGAGACAAGTCAATGATCATTCTTCTAGACGACATTACAGATCAGTTCATCAAAATCCACGGGCAAATTATCCGTCGTCTCGGCCTGTTTCAAGAAACGTAGAACAATTTTCTATTCCTAGGGTTGATGATGAATCCATGACTCGGCAAAACCTGAATGAAAACACAATTTTTCCATATAGGTATGGAATTAACATAACTAACTTGAGCGAACATTCTTTAGTGGATATGGTCTTACAGCCAGCTGCCGCAGATAACCTGCATGGCCACTCCCAAGATAGGAGCTATCCGCCGTATAATCATAGTTCTCAGTCAACAAGTGATCCCTCTCGGTTCATCAGAACGTTTGCTAGTCCTGTCAACTCCTTCCGTAGTGATCATCTGAGTACTGGCATTGATTTTGACTCTATGTATGATCTACTTGATCTTGATCATCATCTGAGTACCGGCTCTGAATTTGACTCTGTGTATGATCTAACTGATCCTGAGGAGGGTGTTATATTGAAGTATTTGAAAACAAGAATACATCGTGCTCCTGTGCCCAAAGATGAAGTTAACCCCACGAAAACTGAAGTAGTTACCGATAAAGAACCAGAAATTTGTTCTATATGCCAAGCTGAATATGAAGACGAAGAGACCATAGGGACACTTCAGTGTGGGCATGAGTATCATATGGACTGCATCAAACAATGGATAATGAGGAAGCAAGATTGTCCCATGTGCAGAGCTTCAATTTTTCCTTCACAACATTAACATATACTGGTTAACTTGTCACAAAAACTTGACATGGTTGTCATTTAATAGCATGCATGTAGAGATTATTTTATTTTAACTTCTTTTACCAAAGTGAAGTTTTCTTTTTCTTTTGCAAGACCAACTTAATTGGGTACTTGGTTGTGTACACTATTTTAAAATTCTTATCGTTAGATTAGACTTGGTTAGACAAGTTGTTTTAGGACAATTACTTCGAGTCCATTAGCAAGGCATGAAATTGAGCACCATGTATTTTATGTTTCCTCTAAGAAGATATATTTAGCCAACTTCTTTTCCAACTACCTAACGGTATAATCAGGAATACATATGGAGTAGTACTTATATCATATAATCAAACCGAAAGAAAGACTCCATGTTATATACGAAATCATTTTAACCATTTCCATGATCAAAACAATAGGTCTAATTTACATGCATTTTTTATTCAAAATTACATACATTTGGAAATGGAGAACTCTTAATAAGATTAATTAAGTTCTTTCTCGGGCTTGCCAGCCATAACATACTACTAACTACCAGCCAAACAATTGATTCACATGATAGAGGCATTTTCAACAATGCTCTTTGCCAGATTGCAATAACAATGTTAAAACCATTGATCACTTGTTCATTAAAGCCTCCTCCTCCTGAAATAGCTTAAGACATCAACCATTACCTTACAACAATAACTCTTACCAATGGATGAATAAAGAATGATTAATGTAAAAGGGACCTAAGTACAAATGATTTTGTTAATTTGGGCACTCTCTTTTCTTTCAGCCTTTGGCACCTAAGGCTTTGTAGGTACAACAACATCTTTCGCAAAAGTAGAAATGAGTGATCAACTGCACAATCAGCCATTGCCAGTGGCGGATGTAGACCCGGAACACCGCGTTCATCTGAACCCAGTACTTTCGATGTAAAACATAAATATATGTATACAATATATTAAAATTATAACAAATAGTAGGTCATGATTTTTACGTGTTATAAATACCACTTGCAATTGTCAATGTAAATCATTCAAGATAATTACTGTTTCATGGTATCAGATATCCAGGATATTCTCCAAGTCTTCTTCTCCGTATCATCATGGTTTCATCTACATCCAGTTCTCAAACCTCTTCTCCTTCCTCTTCTTCCATGGCTAATCTTCCAGTTACTCCTTCCGTTATGCATTCTGCTGTCTCTATTTCCAATATCAAAAATTTGATTCCTGCCACTCTTGATTATAAAAACTATATGCTTTGGAGAGAATTATTTCTTCCTGTGTTTAAAGGACATGGTGTCTATGGCTTCATTGATGGAAGTTATTCATGTCCCGAGTCAACTCTTACCATGGACGATGTAACTTCTGTTACTAATCCAGCTTTTCAATAATGGGTCCAATTTGACTCTATTGTTTTATCATGGATACAAACCACAATTTCTCAAGAAATACTTCAGGAAATTATCCATCCTAACCAAAGACTCACTGCTCGCGAGGCGTGGCTATACATTGAACGTCTTTTACATGATCATGTTAGTTCCCGAACTCTCCAACTTAAGGTTCAATTTCATAACCTTAAGAAAGGTTCCCTTTCTATTGCTGATTGTGTGCATCGCCTCAAATTCATTGCATTAATTGGTAATCCTATTTCTGATTCTGATCTTGTTCTCCAAATTCTCTTTGGCCTACCTTCTAAATATCTCTCTGTTAGCACTTCAATCTCTACTAGGATTCCAGTTCCTACTTTTCTTGAGACAAGATCTCTTATGTTCCTTCATAAAACTCAATTGATTCGTTTTTCTTCTACCACATCAAATTCTTCCACTGCTTTAGTAGCTAAATAAAATTCATCTTCTCAAGGACACTACAAGAAATCACACTTATTGCGGCGACATAAATCGTCACAAAAACCATAGAAGTCGCTGCTAAAGGGTATTAGTGGCGACTTTTGTATTGCCACTGGGGAAACCGTCACTGAAGGTTACTTGTGGCGATGCTTGAGGTCGCCACTAAAAGACCATATTTTTAAAAAAACGCTACAAAAATCTGTTCCATAAGAACAAATATTAGATGGGTCGCCACTATAAATGTCCTTTAGTAGCAACTAAACCTGCCACAAATAATATTGATGTTCAGTGGCAAGATTATGTCGCCACTATAAATATCCTTTAGTAGCGACTGAACCTGCCACAAAAAACATTTATGTTCAGTGGCAAGATTATGTCGCCACTATAAATATCCTTTAGTAGCGACTGAAATTGCCACAAAAAATATTTATGTTCTGTGGCAAGATTATGTCGCCACTATAAATATCATTTAGTAGGGACTAAAGTGGCCACAAAAGTTTTAACGATGAAAGACACAATATATTCTATAGCGACTAAATCGGCTGCAAGAAATTGACATTCNCAGAAATAGAAACTATCAATCTTTTTTCCAAATTGGAATCCTTAAAGAAGTCTATGGGATCATATGGATGCTTTTCCCTTAAAAAACTTGTCTCTGACTACTACTACAATCACAAATTGCATTTTGAGAAATTACCTTTAATACTACCTACTAACTTAAAAACCCCTTTCACAGATATATACATGCCTCTATCACCCATAACCTACGATCAAATTTATTGGGCTCTTACAACAAATGGCATTTTCTCCGTAAAATCTGTCTACATTTCTCTAACAAATACCTAACTTCACATTACTCCTATAAGTGGATTTGGAAACTCCCCATTCCACCAAAAATATCTTTCTTTCTTTAGTTACTTTGTTACAACAGACTTCCAACTGCTACGTATCTCTCACGATTAGGTATCCTCACTTTGCCTATATGTACACAATGTCATATGGCTCCCGAAACAATAATTCATATCGTTCTAGAATGCCGTAATGCAATTCAGCTATGGGTTGACCTCAACTTATCATTTCCAACTCAAAGCTATACTACATAACAAACTGATAATACACATTGGTTATATAACTTTATCCATACACCATTATCATCCACTCCTCATAAAATTCCGTCTACAACATTTCTACCTTTTGCACTATGGCATCTTTGGATTATAAGGAACAAGAATACTTTAGATCATAAAAGAATTCCTTTAAATATTCCCTTAATACTAAATATGACAGCTGAATATTACCTTTTAACATATCAAAAACTAAAAAACAAATTTGTAACACCTCTATACATCAAATGGCATCCAGCAAATGCTACTAACTACAAACTAAACATTGATGGGTCTTGCTCATCTACCCAGCAAAAATATGGTATTGGTGGAGTTTTTCGAAACCACCAAGGCAACTGGTTCATGGGTTTTGCCGGCAAATCAAACCTAGGTACAAGTGTTCAGACAGAACTCCTTGAACTACTCATGGGGCTGAAACTTGTTGTGCAACAACATATCAAACCCATCATCATTGAGATAGACGCACATGGAATCATCGGTATGTTTAATTCAACTACTATGCACTACACTAATATCATTAACGATTGCAGGTTATTACTTTTACAGCTGGATAGCCCTCCTATATAACATATCTATAGAGAGCAAAATTGTGTTGCAGATAGTTTAGCCAAACATGGAGCCATGCATGCACATGAGAGCTGCATACTTTTTGGAAAACCACCATCTTTTGCAGAGCCTTCTTACCAGTGAGATCATAACAGAACACTTCAAAGCAGGCTCGTTAAATTCAGCTCCAGTAACTCAACACAACAGCTCTCTGCTAAAACTACTTTGTGTAATAGTAATATTCTATCTAGTACTAACTATCTCTCTAGTAATGATTCCCATACGGAGGTCTTTGTAGTAAATTCTAATATTCCAAGCTTAGTGACTATGATGCCTCTCATGCATCTTGTAAAATGTACTCATGTACCTGTTTAGTTCCCTATAATATAAGTACTTTCCGACAAAAAAAAAAAAAAGAATAGTCATGGTTACGTAAAGTTTAGTTGTATTAAAAAGTAACCCA